GTTCATCTTGCCTTAAACCACCGAGAAACCTGGACTCTTTACAAAACACTATAAGCCCGCTGAAGTTTAATAGGAGTTTCTGTTGTACTGTGCACAAGTCTGAAGCAAAACCTAGTAGCACACCGTTGCTCGAAATTGATATCACTCATTTTTAGGACATAATAGAAATAACTGTTTTTCAAAAAAGAAGTCGCTACGGGCAGCCAAATGACTCAGGCGTGTTCAAACTCATACTGATAGTCTGTCTACCCTCCCAGCCCTATGCTTATAGCGTTGCCAGATCGAACGCTACGTTGCCAGTCTCATCACTTAATTTCCAGACTTCATATGTAGTTTTTAACGCCTGCGTATCCGCTAAGCAGGGTAATAGTCCGATTTGCTGGTACCAGGTGAGAAAGGTTGAGTAAAAATGAATACTTCAATAACTTCACTTAAATTATGATGGTCGATTTTTATGTGTTCTAGTACAAAACCACAACTTCTGCCAGATGCTTTAAACAAGGTGTCCTGCTATAATTTGATTTCAACCTAACTTGTTTGTATGTTTCATGTAAAAACCGGGTCTAGGGTTTTTCGTGCTAGGTTTAAAGCGTCTGGCAGATGTTACAATCCGCGGAAAGTGTAAAACCGGCCTCTTAAATGTTGGAGCAACCTTAATGCTTTACTTTTGTACCACATATTGAATCAAAGGTGCAAAGCTTCCATCCTATGGCCTCCCAGAGAAGCTTTGCAGATTGGTGACGGGTTCTCCTTTTCAGTCTATAGGTCGTCATACAAATAAACGAAAGATGTCGTGTTCGATCCCACCGATCCACAAATTTGGTGATGTCAGCACTCTACATGGAGGAATTCAGAATGCCAAGCTGATCTTTGCAGGTGAGCTGGAGAAAAGACGACTGACAGAGACTTCTTCTCTGACGAGAGACCTGGAGGACGCAACGGTGTTGTACAGTTAAATTCGTCCATAACACAATACTGCACCTTGATTAACAAGAAGTGCCTGTCTGACTTTGGCTTCCCATCTTAACCGTGTCGAACTTTGTATATCCAGAAGTGGTCGGTACGACCGCTCCTTTGTCCCTAGGGTGTCAATATTGTGGAACAGTATGGCTGTAGAGGCTTTTCCCAGTTCTACTAACCGTAGACATTTCAAAAGACAGATTAATAAATTGTATCTAACAACTCTTCATAGAACATATAACCGCAAATGGCAAAGTTAAGTTTTGAAATATGCTGGTCACACCAGTTACGAGTTAATGTCCTCCAAGAGTATTCTGCCACCCACTAGAACAGCTACACCAATTTAAAGGAATTCATCTTCCTGGATCTTATATTGATATCATTTTCTATAAAATGTCGAGTTGCCTTAGTGACATTTCCTCCCATATACTACGAAATAATGCAAACTCAGCCGACCGTACAACTCTTAACGTTACTTTAAGGTTCTTAAGTGGTATTCCTTCAACCACCATGGTCTCTAAAAAACTTGAAACTAGATCATCGGTATAGAATGCTGAAGAGTAAATGTACATATTTGTCCCCGCAAAAATATTGCAAGGAAGCAGTACCGGAAGGGGTTAGTGATTTCCGTTGGTGCAACTTGATTAATGCCGATTTTCTCAAAAATCCAGACATTCCATGTATACTTTGCCTTTAATCATGGAAACTGTTTTATGAAAAGCACTGTTAACAAGAAAGCAGTACTAACAGAAGAATTATGGAGTTATCCTTGTCGATTTACAGTTTATGGTGGATACTTACCGTGCCATAAATAATATTTGACGTCTATATTAATTATTCTAGCAATCAAAACCGATAAGAGTAATTAAGCTCAGATTTAGGTAACAATTTGGTATGCAAATGGACGTTCCTCTGGATATGTCGGATGTCATCTTAATAAACACCTGCAACACTAATAGTTCGCCTAATTTATGTCTTTAAGTGGTGCTATTTTCCTCACCACGTGGTATGCCGAGCTGCTGTAGCTTTTAGTACTACCTACACTTTATTGAGAGACAAGAAATATAAGTAGAGGAGAGTGCCATAAGTTGATTTCCATTTTGTTATTGACTTAAAAAATATGATAAGTAGTTAAAAGTGTGTGCGCCTAATTAATAGGCCCATGGCTTGAGTGGTAACTTGTCGCCATATTTTCTTTTTTACTACCTTCTTCTTCAAATTATTGACTCTAGGATATCGGTTTCTACTTCTTTTTCCATCTGGTTTTCGGTCTTCCTCGTAAATTTTTTCCACCAATATTGCTCATTAGTACGCTTTTTTGTATTCTGGTCTCCGTCTTCCTAGACATATCCCAACCTTCTTAACCTATGAGCTTTCACTGTTCCTACTATATCTCCGCACCCATTAACCGCACTCCAGCTTCCTACCAAATATCTTGTGTAAGACTTTTCTCTCCAAAATAGCTATTTAGTTTTGTTCTGCTTTCTTTAATGTCCATACTTCACTGCCATAGATGACACATAGATCTTATAATAGTTTTATATAACCTTAGTTTAGCCTTTCTGGGTACTATTTTACTCTTTAGTAGTCATTCTGTGAGAAAACTCACCGGTTACCCATCACCAGGATATTTTGAATTCTTCATTTGTTCATTCCATGTACTTATTTCTCTTTCTTTTTTTAACACTCAACACATTAACAGTGCTTTGTCTTCCAGCCTCTTCAGCACTTGGCATAATTCCTCCTTACCTCTGGTTATGATCACTAAATCGTCAGCGAATGCTAATCATTGGTATTTCTTATGATACAGTAATCATTCTCTAGTTCCTTATCTGACTCCTCCTCTAACTACAAAATAATCCGATAATTCGTTGTCGACTTCGACTTTTTTTTCTGTATTAATATTTTATTAGATTAGATTTTATTAGAATAACTAGTTTTCCTCGATTCCCAGTCATTTTCTTACAATTTACCCTATAGTATACTTGTTTGAAGTGTTCGAATAATGTAAATGTCGGCTTCACGTGCTAGTAGATTTCTGCCTGTATTTCTCTATTGCGCTTCTTCTGCATCTGAATCCGGACTAATATTCCCCTACGATGCTCTCTATACTTTATTTCAGTAGATTCCTAATGTGCGCTTAGGGACAATATTCATTAGTGCTATTCCTCTGCAATTGTGACAATTGCTCTTATCTCCTTTCCTCTTTCCATTTCTTTTTTACTTTTATTAATTATAGTTGAACATTATTATGAAAAAAGTAATTTCCAGAAGTCTTTCATGCCCCTGATTTTACAATAGGTGCCAAAGCCGATTCCGCAATTAATTTTTTCAATCGTCAATCAAGGGTTCAACCTTAAGCAAGGATATATATTATATTTAAAACAGATACATAGTTTCAGTTCTTTAGCTGATAACATGTAGACGTACACTTTCTGTATTCTTCCGTTCCCTCTCAACTTCTCATTGCTATTATCATTCCAGAACTTGTCAAGAGATATCAAAGAAATAGTAGATAAATAGCATCAGCGGGGCGTCCAGCCTCCGGCACAGCTGTTATGTAAAAAACCTTAGAACATAAAAAATACGACGAAATGTCATCTTGCAGACTTTGTAGTTTTTAATGTGCAAATAGTTCATTCTACTTTTACTTGCTACGATCACTAAACCCTGACGTTCAAACAACAGGTACAGCTACAAAACGAATTCACAACAGCTTGTTCTAAGTTAACATCTGGTAGAAAAACCTACGAAATGTCAAAAAAGACCTACGAAAAGTCACTTTTTAAGATACGTAATACCCGTGCGGGCTATGCAACTTAAACCAGAAACTTGTTTATCCAATAAAATGGCAGTCAAACATTTAAATGAACTAATTTCAGAAGAAAGACGAGACTGTGATTTGATAAAATGCTTAGGCATAAAGGCTTAGATGCAAATAATTATCTAAAAAGAATAATAAAAATTGTAACGCTGCGGAAAAACTTTACCCTTTCAAAGCACATGTAGTAGTAATAGTGGTGGAGGGGAGGCGATGCCTGGAAACTAGGCCTTTTATGATCCCGTTGTACCAACATTACAACTATTCCATATGTCATCTACTGGTAACTGATTTTCGAATCAACCAGCTCCAGCTATGCGATGTACCTGTTGATCCTGCACACCGATCTGGTGCGTAATATATAGACAAACATCCACGGCATGAAATTAACTTCTGAGTGCGAGATTCGAACCCGCAAGCCTTCAAGTCTCTGTCAAAACACATAATCGTGGACAAAGAAGCTACCGGTGCGCCTGCGCTCCACCACAGTATAGTAAATACCAAACTATTACACTTGGCAATAATGGAGTTACAGAGAACGCAGAGCTAATGGGACCAGGGGTTCGCTTTTTCTAGTGTAGACGCACAAAGGAAAGTTTGATAGTTACTCAAACGTATTAGTTATAGCCGTACCAAAATCCAGGTAGCTTGGAGTTAGAATCAAAGAATCTCTACCACAATGGAGATAACAAACTATAGATTTACAACATTACATTTAAAGCAATCTGAATCAATCAACTGCAGCTTTGGGGATGTCAGAGTGATCTAGAAAAGTAGACGGAAAGATCCATTGACGTAATGGAAAATCTCGCTGTTAGTTTTTTCTATCCAACACAGAACAATCGTTTTTTATTGAAATGACTCATTTTATTTTAATAGTTTTAGGACTAATCTAATTTTTAAGAGCAATTTTATGTAAAGTAACTGAAACACTCGTTACCACTAAACATATTTCAGATATTTTTTCTATTATTGTTACCTTGACATCACTTCTAATGTATCAGATTGACGTATTGAATGTGAATTGAAGGAAAATTATTCTTCACATCATTCACAAATACTTGTATACGAGTATTACGTAGTATGTTACGAAAAAGTTTTATTCCATGAAATTGCGTGATTTATATGATATTAATTGACCCTGGCATCTTTATTCAGAAGTATAGTGACATTCTGTAGACACTGCCAATACAACTGATCAACTTAGGATTGTGTAAGAGAATGGAGCTACCGATCAGGGGATTTTCTCAAAATAAGGAAGTAGAATATCTCATTCCTAATATGAGGCAGCAGCGGTGGCCGCAGTAGTAGACTCTTCGGTCTCCTAATCAGTCGCCGTGCGCTGTGCGGGTTCGAGTCCCGTCCCAGGAGAAATTTTTCTCTTGGCTATGGATGTTGTAATTGTCCGTAGGTGGTAGACGGTCTCTGACTGTCGAACGTGGAGGTACCACCCGGCGGATCTCGTAGCCGGAGCCAGAATGTGTGCATGTTGCATGCACACGTGTTCCCTCGCCAGAGTTCGTGTGGCGTTCCCCCTTTCCCCTGTATCCCCCTATAGCCCCACGGTACCCAATTGGTGTTTAGGCCTTAGGCCTTCGTGGTAGTTGGAGTATAAAAAAAAGGCCAACTTTTTGGTGGAACGTTTAATGCGATGAGGAATCTAGGAACATATTATGTGGCGGAAAATTCTCAAACTTATTTGACAAATGTCAACAGCTGTCGCGATCATTATTCTGGAAGACAACCACGTTTCCTTTCTCTCAGTGATTCTACTTCCTCGTCTTCCAGAATAGATGTCCTGAGGTCTTTGCTGTTGGATATATACACCTGTTGTACCTCTAAGCGTTTCGTTTTAGTTACAACACAACTGTTGACGTAGATATCAAAATGATTAACACTCAGTAATTCCTAACTTCCATGGTCTGCCGTCGTTCAAACGTGACGTTATACTGGGAACGTCACAGTATAACAGGTTTCCTCCCTACTTATTTCTTGGATGGGTTAAGTTGGCAAGAAGAAGAAATTCAGAGCAATGAAAAAAAAATACAAAATTAACATCTTTGAAAATGAGGAACTTGCAGGTTGTCAAAGTTGAGTGGATTTACTGTTTTTGTAGATTTAGTTGCTGATAAATCAACAATCAATCATCAAAATGCTACAGTATGTTACATCGATCTTTTTTTCTTGGAAGCGTCCATCCAAATATGTAATGAAATATGTTACATTCCATATAAAATAATTGTCAAAAGTGACACATTTTTTAAACATTTACATAGATCCGTACAAGAGAAGAAAATTTATATAACGTTTTGATGATTAGTTGATTTAAGCCACAGCTTTAACAGATTGTCAGTCCGCCAGTTTAAAAGACTAATTTTATATTCTAGGGTTACTCTAGGGTACTCGTGATGATCCTTAAAATCAGGTATCTCAAAATCTCTCATTCCATTTACAAATGTTACAAGATGGGACCCTGCTGTATAAGCTGTGATGTTACCAGTAAAATTAGGTTGTGTTTTAGGTATTACACTGGTATAGTAAGCAAAGATCTTAGTTCTGTGCACAACATGAGGTATGGCTGTATAATTAGTCAGGGAAGTATATCTCTGTACAAGAGAGAAGTGCTTTGCGCTATGACCTATGACTCCTATACCTTGTATAGTGAGGATATTTGATGGTGAAAAGTACAAAGTAGTACAAAATTGCCTATCTACCTCTACCATCTACTCCAGCAAAGCATGCTTTGCAGCTTCCTGCAAATAAAATATAACAAACATGGTGGTCGCAATGCTCATGCTGACGTATTTCTATATACAACCGGAGAAAATTAGGCTGACCATGCCCATCTCGTATATGTTGTGAGCCACATCATTTGTAGGCTCGACTGTATTCGGCCTTAATAAGGCTTAACGTGTGCTCTGTTGTTTTAATGGAGCAGATCCACAGTCGGACGGATCGAAAGCTGAGCAACGTACAACTACTAAGGATCATCGGCATTTATACACATCGCTGTATAAATAAAACATGGCTATGTATCCACCCAATTACACCTATTTGGGCATTAAAACAGAAATCTAAGAAATTCCCGTGTTAGCAAGACGCGTTGCACTATAAGGAGCGCCATACATTAGGATATCGTGGTCCTTGGTATTTCTACAACTTACATATATAATATAAAATGAAGAGCGTCGAATAGCTTTGGCAAGGGGACCTTTTGTCAACTCTCCTCTTTAATTCCCTATTGGAAAAGATACTTGGAAAAACGGGCTTACAAACCAGTGGAGCAATATTTCGCCGTGAACACCAGGTTATTGCCTTTGCCGACGATATTGTCTTGGTATCGCGAACAAATCTTTATTATTGCATGGAGAGCCATGGTAGCCATTTTCAACATTTACTTGCCTAACAGGTCATTTCATTTTTCATTTTTAAATTACTTTGCTACCAAATGTATTGATCTCCACTAATGATGATGTATTAGTTTTATTTAAGCTTTAAATCAATAAATCTTCAAAAATGCTGAACTGAAGTACGTTAATTTTATATCATTATAAAGGTATCAGAAGGTATCACTCGACCCCCCTTTCCATTTAAGATTTTGGGGGTGGTGTCACCCCCGCTTAGGGGGCTGCACGTGCTAACGTGATTTTTTGCTCAAAATCGACAGGTCTGAACGTTTTTCAAAAAAAAACTGAGCTGCCAGTAAATGCTTCTATTTCGTTTTCGATGGGCCACCTTGTATATGGGAGAGACAAATATGGACGAAAAGCATCCAGTATCGCGAATGCAGCGATTAAGATGGCTGGGTCATGTTTGCAGAATATCTGATATGCGAAGCACAAATCTGGTTTTAGGAGGTTTGGGATGCAAGAAAATGAAAGGAAAACAGAGACGTGAGGATAGCTGCTGTCAAAGAAGACCAGGATATTTTGAAGATACAACAGTGGAAAGAAAGACCACTGGATAGAAGATTTGGGAAGAATATCGATGCCGATGCGGCATGTAGAGCTGTTGTATATAATACAAAATATTGTTTTGAGTTCAAACATCAGCATTGTGGCATTTCAATTTTGCATGAGGTTGAGAAACAGCTGTTTTTGCATTAAACGCGCAAAATACCGACAACGTGGTCACTATTTCCTATTGAAGAATGTCCCCTGTAATGTCCTATGGGTTCCCCTTAAGGGGATACAGGTCTTAAAGTATGCTGGTGGAAATCGGTTTTTGCAAGTAATTTAAGCCGAATTTTAACTGCATGTATAATAATGATTAAAAAATAATTGTTTTTGTTGAAATGAGTTGTTTTTGAGATACACTGTCTTGTTTTACAACTGTTCTATTAATTTACACAATAGTCGATCACCAAAAGGTCTGACAAATGTAAAAATAAATCAAGTGGTTTGTATAGATTTGTATCCTGAGGTTTTTGGGCCGCTTATTGTGATTCTTCTATCAGAATTACTATATTAAAAAATGGTGTAACCAGCCTACCGGATTCAGGATTAAAGCTCATACATTCACAAGAGCAGTTTTCCCGAAAACGATCCTCTTTACCAATGGTAAACATGAGAAAATTCTTTCCACCTTAAAAATTTGCATTTCCAAAAATGTTATCGTTGGGCAATTATGATACAGGGTGCGAATATTTTGATCAATGATGCGTTGTAGTCCGATTTAAATGAATCAATTGTTTTCCATGGACACCAACATGTGGGCCCCAAACTATTTTCTTTAAATTCTGCTGTGTCGTTATTTGAGACAAGCCGAGTTCTATTAGCCTGTATGCCCGTAAGAGAGCTACTTAGGCTATACTTTTATGGGTACTAAGGACACTTTTTTTGCGTTCTGGTATGATATGTATACGAGAGATTGACTTGAAATTCTGGGACATCCTGTACTTGTGAACAAGTGCCACTCAGACACTCAATGATTTTCGTCATGGTCGAACTTCTTAAAAACATTCCATTCGGTTTGATTGGCTAAGATTTGAACAGTCAGCCTTTCGCACTAAGAGCTAATCCTAATGTACTTTCAATCCCAAACTTTTTTATATTCATCAAGCTAACAGATAAATATTTACGTGATCTTTTTTATATATAGTATGATTGGTAATTACTAGCCTGTAAAAATCGTAATGAGATGAGTATAATGCATGGCTGCCTTTAGTGCATCACCGTACACTGTGATGTTATCTGCCCGGAAAAATGCTCCACAGAGACGGTAACAAATTGACGTCATCCTGATACGATCTGTCACACGCATATATTCGGACCGAATTAAATTAAATTCACTTCTGATCGATTAGCTTTCTATCATGTTCGACGGTGCAGGTTGCCTAATAGTTATTAGTGTGACTCTCTGTGTGGCACACATATAATGAGCAGTTTACAGAATGTTAACAATGTACGATGCTCGAATTTCTTGTTTGACTAATTTCGTTTGCCACGAGACTGCTTTCCAGCCATCTGTTTACGTGAGATTTATGGAGGATTAGTTTCGTTTCTCACACAAATGGGAGTTTATTCACCAAATTATGTCAAATTAAGTGTCCATATATTATTTTCGGGTTTGTTAAAGGTGTATTGATACTTGTTTTGATATTAAGCTTTGACGACTTTCATTTAGACGGTACATTTATTTACAAGCTTATGTTGATTTTCAGTGACAATATGAATAACTGTAGCAGAACATGTACACAAGTTATCCAAAGATTTCCTGTGAATCGAACTGAAAAACCGGCACCGTAAACAATTGTCACGATTATTTTGTCACAAATAAACTTATCAAAAATAAAACATCACATACTTTGGTGGAGAAGTATGCCACTATTAATCATATAGTATTATATAATACTGGCCTTTTACACCGAGGTATGCATAGAATTCTTCTCAGTACTACCTATGATACATTTAATTTGCTGGGTTACCTGAGCATCTGGAAACAGCCAGAATAAAGGCGACACAATCTCGACCACAGAACGATGCGTAGGAGAGCGACGCTGCCACTACATGACAGGAGTCCGACAAAGAAGATGTCACGTCGACTCATCATTCGTTTCACGTGTACTTCCAAATACTCCAATTTATCAAGCAGGGTTGCCCTCATAATTGATACGGCGTTTAGCTAATACTATCCTGTAACAATTTTAGCGTTGGTAATTATTTGACGCACCTATGTGTTCTGAATTAGAACAAAGCAATCGTTCTGGAAAATCAAAAGTGCGCTTTTTCCCGTGCTCAAAACCTTGTGAATAAGATGGTTGTCTTTTTCATGGTTCATTGTTTGTTTACTCTATCTGGCTATCAAAAGGTATTCGAAATTGGCAGAATATATCCCCTTCCCACTTCAGTTGGCCCAACTATTGAAATCTTAGTTTTTTTCTTATCAAACACAAATAATAAAAATGTAGCAGGGTGTTATAGGTTTAAAATATTAACAATGAATATTTTGATAATATATAGTAGAAAACTCCGTAATCAAATTTGCAGCATACAAATAACACAAGTTGCAATTACAGCATATCAACTTATTTTCATTTCAATGCAAAATAAGTCTATAACGCATAGGTGGCTGTGAAAAATAAAAGCCA